AAAATTATAATAATGATTCATCTATACTCTTCACAAATTTTGATATTTTAATATTTTTTCATAAAAATTCATTTTTTTATCTTATAATTTATTATAGTATATCTTTAATTAAGTAATACTAAGGCTGTTTAAAGTTGATTTTTAGGTTAATATCATCTTCTGGCTTGTTAGCTGTCTCCCCAAATATTAAACAAGCCAATTAACATGAACTAAGTTAGCCAATGATATTTATCAAATGCTCTGTGACATTATATGTATTTGTTTAAAATTATTCTTCTTTATGCTTGTATATTGATATTAACCTAAAAAATCAACTAAAAGTAGCCTAAATTGGTGTATCTAGAATTATCATTATGAGGCGAATAAATTTAATTTTTTTTTTTGTATTTTATGATTTAAAAAAAGATAATCTAAATTTTATAAATTTTACAGTACCAAGGGTCTTATTCAAGAACTCCATTTTAAAATTGAATAGTACTGTATACTATTCACGAATCTAGTGATTTTATTAATGAAAAAAAGAGACTATAATTAGAAAATTATTTTACATCTATGAAGTTAAGAGTTTCTATTTGAATATAAGGCTGATTGAAGTTAAAATTCTTTAGTTAACATCACTTTTTAGAGCTCTCACGAGGAGGTGAGAGGGAAAAATAAAATAAACAAAATAAAATGAAAAATCTTTATAATGAATTAGCTTCCAGTTCAAGACTGTCAAAAGATTTGAATTTGAGTTTCTCAAAGTTAATTAGTTAGTTAACATATAAAACAAAATATGCATACTATAAAGTATAATAGTATATTAATTTAAATATTTTATTAAAGTGACTTTATATACTACTTTAAATTTATAATAGAGTATAATGTATATTTTAATCTTTAAAAAAAATAATATGAATAATTTTGGTTTTAATTATTACTCTTTTCAAATTATAGTGTTACTACTAGTTGGGAGAGCAAAGAAGTTGGTTTAGCTCCAGTAGATAACTTAATATAATAATTGTCTTGTTTATTATGTGTTGTATGGTTTTGAAGTGATAATTTAATCGAGTTTAAATAATAAATTTCTCTTATTTAGATCTGGAGATGATCAGTTTAAGGAATTCAGGTTCTTTAAAGGGGTCAAGAGTCAGTTAGGATAATCAATAATCAGAGTTGAAACAAAATCAAGGGTTGCATGAAGTATAGTTATAGGAAATGAAGTTTGAGTTACGTAAGTAACAAAAAATGGAAGTGCGCACGAATAGGAAAAACTAAAAGAAATTGAATAATAATAAAACTAACAGACTAAATACAAAATAATTAAAGCCAGGTTATAAAATCTATCAATATAGGCCTGCTTCAGCACTCTATATACGTACTGCCTATAAACTCAAAACTCAGCAAAAAAAAATAAATTTAATTAAGGGTTTGAGAGATCGATATTTTATTTATTATGCATAAATGCAGGAGGGATGCATGAGAATAAAATTTTTAAAGATCGAAATCTGCCTTTATTAATGTAAAAATTTCAGAGCTTATATACATTTTAGTTAATTAAAGGACATATTTGGTGTCATATCGATACTTTAGCGCCCAATTAATACTACTAGCACTAGTTAGATGCCAACGGCGTGAGTATAACACCAGACATGTTACTCTGCCTTAAGCTTTTAGTTAAGTCCCAATAAGTAAAAACTAAACAAAAAAAAATATATAGTAAAAGAAATAAATAAATAAATAAAATAAATTCTATATACGTATATAAAAAAAAATGTTATCTACATATAACAATAGTGATCAGCAAAATTTCATATATTATAGAATATTATAAAATACAGCTTGTAATTGGCTAAAAATTAAATAATAAATTTTTATATACAATTTTTCTATTGAAGTTCTAATATTACCTATGTTCTTATGAATTTTAACGAAGATATTTCATTAACAGCCCAGTCATTTTTAATATTTAAGATCATTTTCTAATTCTATTAATTTGCAGAATTCGAAAATAATTTGAATACGATATTATAGTATATCTTCATTCAAAATTTGTGAGAAAGTACTTAAAAAAATATGAATTTTTGTTATCACTTGATTAATTGGTTTGTGGGTCAAAATCTCGAAAGTTAATTATCACTTTATGTGATATAATATTTAAAGTCCGCTGATGTTTTGTTATTATGATTACTAATCATCACGAGCTTTGAATATTGCATCACATAAAATGACAATTAACTTTCAGAATTTCACTTTTGGGATTTTTACTCCAAACCGATTAACTATTACAAGATATAATATTTATAACAAAAAGTGGAATTGTTATTTTTTAAATAGCAATTTGTAAAAAATAAAAAATTTAAGAAAATTTTGTAAATTTCTGCATAGTGAATGATCATCTGATAATTACAGTAATCGAAAAGCAGAATAATAAAAAGAGCTAGTTTTATTTAATATCTGATATCAAGGCCTAGTTAGAATTAATATTGGCTACCTCCATATGGACGAAAATATCCTGTTGAAACATAGTGATTAGTGATAACAAGGTAATCAAATTATATCAGGTTACAATTAGGTATATACGAACAAAAAATTTATAAGTAATCAAGTTACAATCAGGTATGTATATATAAAAAAATCTTTTAAGTAGTCAAGTTACAACCAGATACATATATACGTACAAAAATTCATATCACATTTAGATATGTACAAAAATTAAAGTAACTAGATACATACATGCAAAATTTTATAAGTAAAACTCAAACGATTTATAAGCAATTCATTATCAGGCTTACAAATTTTGATCAATTGATCACTTTTATTTTTAATATTCACGCATATAAATAGTTAGCTCAAATTTTATTTTTCTTAATCTCATATTAAATCATCACAAAATTAGAAATTTTGGATTTGATTCGATTAAAAAAATTTTTCAACCATAAATTATCTCAAAAATTCTGGTATTGCACTAACTAAAATCACATTGCGAGTAGTTTCACTCAGTTTCAAATTTTCTATAGAATTAAATAATGTGTTTAAAAGTCTGTGAAACATCATGTCAGAAAAACTTCTTGTTAGGAAAACTTCTTTTCAAAAAAACTTCTTGTCGGGGAAACTTCTTTTCAGGGAAAGGAATATCGTAAATATGTCATTTTGGAAAAATATCATGTCAGTAATATATCTTATTGTAAAAAGGTAATGTCAGTAATATGTCTTGACAGGAAAAAGCTATGTCGTAAATATGTCCTGTCAAAGTTATATTATGTTAAGAAAATAAACTGTAGATAAAATGGTCTGTCAGAGATGTAGTGTCAGAAAAGTGAAATGTTGAGTAACTAACTTTTGGGGAATCATGGTATAACCACTGCAAATATAGTATTTCTACTAACTACAACTTTTTTTCCTATTTCAACTACAGCCACAGGAAATTCAGACTCTCCAACTTTACAATGATACTTATCATCCATAAAAATAAAATTAGTGATTTCTTAAAATTTTATAGCAAATTCTTTTTCATAATGAAATATTGCAGATGCATAATGAACATCTTAATGATAAGCATATAGTTGATGTGTTTGAACTATGAATTTTAAAAGTAGACAGCTAGTAAATTGTAAACTACTAAGGCATGTTAGGTTCTTATGCCAAAACTGTAATTACAACTATTGTACACTAGAGATTAGTGTTTCAATTGAATATTCCTTTTCAATTTGATACAAAAAATCATTAACTAATATTGCAGTCACAAGGTATACTATTGGATTATATTTATATTTATCTACTGCATTTACAGTATCAGCTACTTTTCTTTCAAGAAATTGAAACACAACTTCTTAGAAAATATCATATTTACTAGGTTTTCCACTATTATGTTCACATAAATCAATTGCAATTTCTAGATCTTCAAAGTCTAAAGCAATTCTAACACACTCATTAACTTTAGCTTGATCTGTAGTCTCAGTTGCGGAGATATTACTAGTTAGTATTCGATATATTGTTTGAAGCAAAGAAGGTTTAGCTTTTAGTAGAAGTAAGTTAAAAGTATGTAAATAGTTTATTCTCATTGCTTGAGTATGATAATGGAGTATATTTTCTTGCAATTCACTTATTATTCATTAATTTTCTTGTAAAATTTTTTCTTCATTAGCTTCTTCATCTATTTTCTATATTGAGATTATATTAAAAATATTATTCTTTGTATTGAATCGATATTCTCCAATTTTGAAAGAAAATATACAAAATAAACCTTGTATATAATGTATTCTTTGCTTATAAAAAGTAATATTTATTAATTTTATATACTAAGGTAATTTAATTGTTATTGTGGTAGTTTATATTGAAATGCTAAAACATTAAAATAACTCTAACAGTATTTCTATTATTAATGACTCCAATCAAACTCAAAGAATAAAGAAGAGAGAAAAAAAAAGATTACAATGATTTAAAATTTTATGTTATAATAGGTTCAACTCTCAATATAAGCCTAACTCACAATTTTATTGATTTGTTGATTTATTTTTTATACATACACAGGGTCAGTTAGAAGGAATTCTTTAAGGTCAACTGGTTTCCATAGTAATAAATCATTTAGAAACTGTGCAAAATGACAATATTTGGATTCGTCTATAGATATTACCCAAATGTTTCACTTATGGACTTGAATTGTTGTAGCCTGATCGATAGTTCTTATAGGAGTTTCTAATACATGATTAGTGGCAGTAATTTCATATTGGCATTACAAAAATCTAACATAATTCGAAATAGCTACAATAAAATTATCTAGTTCATTATAGAGCCAATTGAAATTATTTTTTAGCATTCATAATAAGGTAGCATATAGGGCAAAGACTTGATAATATAAATTCAACTCATTTGTATTAAAAGACTTTCATGATTGCTTATATAATTCTAGATTTGTATAGCCAAAAAACTCGAGAAACAGTTTAGATATGTAATAACTATAATTTTTGAATTTTTTTTTTTTTTTTTTTTTTTTTTTTTTTTTTTGAAAGCGAGATCTTGTCTCAGTTTTTTATTAATTTTTATATGTGGGT